CTGCTAACCTCAAGGAGCCAAAATGAATGCCTTGAAGACAGGGTGTTTTGCAAGCTCGTGGGCATACCTATGGGGAAAACAAGGAAGCTCCTTGAGGGGATAATCAGATGAAAGTTAATTATTCAGCCAAACTGTCACCAGGCCTTGATTACCTGCCTTGCTACCTAAAACAAACATCTGTGCTCAGCAGAACACTATGACCTTGTTTTCCTCAATAAATCCGGAGTTTTGAGTCAGTTCAGGGCTTCACTCCATTCCAGTGAAGTCCCCTGGCCCTCCAACAAAGATATTCTCTGTCTCTCACATCTTCATATATCTCTCTGTAAGGGTTTGCTGGCCCAAACCCAGCAACAGACTATAATTAAAGGATGAAAAACAATGTTTCTTGCACCAGAGCCTCAAAAGCAAGCAGGGGTAGCAATTCTAATATCAGACATGGTAAACTTCAAGCTAAAACTGATTAAAAGTGATAAGGTCACTACATACTAGTTAAGGGAACAATCTAACAAGAAGAGATAACATTGATAAATACCTATGCACCACATACTGGTATACCTATATTCATTCATAAAACAAAAACTGCTGAACTTTAAAGATCAAATAAACACTAACACAATCATGGTAGGGGATTTTAACACCCCATTTTTGCAAGGAGATCAACTAAATAAAAAATCAAAAAAATCAGAGCTGAACCACACCCTTAAACAAATGGACTTAATAGATATTTACAGAGTATTTCACCCCTCTCTAACAGAGTACACATTCTTTTCAGCAGCACATGATACTTTGGTCACAGAAGATATCAAAGAAGAAATTTTAAATTTTCTAGAAGTTAATGACAATGACTGTACAACTCACCAAAATCTCTAGGACACTATGCAACAGTTCTTTTTTTGGTTCTGGTACCAGAAATTTTACTCATGCCAGGCAAGCACTTAGGCCACTGAGCTATATCCCCAGCCCACTATGAAACATTTCTAATAGGAAAATTCATCACAATTAGTGCTCACATTAGGAAAATGGAACAAGCTCAAATAAATAATGTCATGAAAAATCTTAAGATAATTGAGAAACAACAAACCAACCCCAAAGCAAAACTGAGGGGAAATATAAAGATGAAAGTGGAAATTAATGAAACAAAGACCCAAAAAAGTACAAAAAAATCAATAAATCAAATACCATGTTCTTTAAAAGAATAAATAAAATACATAAGCCCTTAGCCAGACTTACCAGAGAAAGAGAGAAAGACTCACATCAGTGCAATTAGAAATTTAAAAAGGTAAGTTGGGTGTGGTGGTGCATGGCTATAATTTCAACACTTGGGAAGCTGACATAGGAGGATCACCACGAGTTCAAAGCCAAGCTGGGCTAGTGAGCTCAAAATTAGCCTGGACTACATAGTGAGACCCTGTATCAAAAAAAAAAAAAAAATTAAGGTGAAATTATAACCCTGTCAAAAGCCACAAGACAGTAACTACCTTGAAAAATTGTATTTTAACAAATAAGTAAATTTGGACGAAATGGACAGATTCCTAGACTCACACAAATTACCAAAGCTAACCTAAGAATATATAAATATGCTTAATCCAATAACAGGAATGAAATTAATCCAGTAATAAAGAATCTACCAACTAAAAAAAGCCCAGGAAGGACCCAATGGATTCACTGCTGAATTTTACCCAACCTTTAAAGATATTACCAATACTCCTCAAACTCTTGAAAGAAACTGAAAGGATGGAGTACTCCCAAATTCATTTATGGAAGCCAGTATCACCACGACCCCAAAACCCAGACAAAGCCTTCACTAAAAAAGGAAAGTGTAGACAAATCTCCTTAATGGATGTAGGTGCTAAAATCCTCAACAAGATATTGGCAAAAGGAATTCAGCACATCATCAAGAAGATCATGCATCATGACTGAGTAGGAACCAAAGATCCAAGGGTGGTTCAACGTATGTAAGTCCATGAATGTAAAACATCACATAAACAGAAGCAAGGTCAAAAAACCACATGATCATATCAATAGATGCAGAAAAGGCTTTCAACAAAATCCAACACCAATTCATGATTAAAAAAACCTGAAGAAAACGGATATAGAAGGATCATACTTGAATTTGATAAAAGCTATTTCTGACAAATCATCAGCCAGCATTCACAATAAATGGGAAAAACTAGAAGCATTCACCTTAAAATTAGGAACAAGACAAGAATGTCCATTATCACCACTTCTATTCAACATAGTATTTGGAACATTAGCCAGTCAGGAAAGAGAAAGAAATAAAAGGAATGCATATAAGAAGGGAAGAACTCAAATCATCATTATTTGTAAATGACATGATATTCTATATAGAAGAGCCAAAGAACTCCACCGAAAAACTCTTAGAATTAGTAACCAGCTTCAGCAATTCATGATGCAAGATCCACACAAAAATCATTAGCATCTGTGTGCAACAATAATGAACTCGATGAGAAAGAAATTACAAAAACAATAATATTCACAGTAGCTTCAAGAAAGATGAAATACCTAGGAATTAACCTAACCAAGGAAGTGAAAGACCTCTACAAAGAAAACTATAATACTAAGAAAAAAGGAGATTGAAGAGGATATAGAAAGATAATAGAAAATAGAAAATAGAAAGAAAATAGAAAAATAGAAAGAAAATAGAAAATAGAAAGATCCTTTGCTTCTGGATAGGCAGAACCAGCATTGTCAAGATGGCTACCCACCCAAAACTGTTATACAGATTCAGTGCAGTCACAATCAAAATACCAACAGCATACTTTACAGAACTAGAGAAAACAATCCTAAAATTCATGTTTAACTAGAAAAGACCCAGAATACCAAAAGCAATTTCAGGGAACAAAAAGCAAAGCAGGAGACCTTACAATACCTGACTTAAAGCTGTACTACAAAGTAGTAGTGATTTTTAAAAACTGACATGGCATGTGAGCAGAAACAGATATGTGGATCAATGGAACAGAATAGAGCATAGAGACACACCCCAGACACATTCAGTTATTTGATCTTTGACAAAGAGGCCAAAAGCATATGTTGGAGGAAAGATAGCCTATTCAACAAGTGGTGCTGGGAAAACTTATTGTTTGCAAAAGATTAAAACTGGAGCCTTATCTCTCACCATACACTAAATTAAAATAAAAATGGGTCAATGATCCAAACAATAAAACAGAAACATTAAACCTATTGGTAGATAAAATAGAAAAAACACTTGAAGACATAGGTGTAAGAAAGGATTTTCTAAACTGAACCTCAAGTTGCACAAGAAATAACACCAGCGATCAACAAATGGGATTATATCAGACCAAAAAGCTTCTGCACAGCAAAAGAAACAATTGGGAGAGTGAAGAGACAGCCTACAAAATAGGAAAAAGATTTTGCCAATTACTTCTGAGACAGAGAACTAATATCTGGGATATATAAAGAACCCATAAAAACTAAACACCCTAACATTAAAGACCCAGTCAAAATATGGCCACGAGAAATGAACAGACACTTTACAGAAGAAGTACAAATGGTCAACAAATACATGAAAAAATCTTCAACATCTCCAGCCATTAGAAAAAAGCAAATTAAAACAATACTGATTCCATTTTACTCGGGAAATCATTAAGAAATAAAAAATAAATGCTGGTGAGGCTGTGATGAAAAAGGAACACTCCTACATTGCTGGTGGGAATGTAAACTAGTAGAACTGTTATATAAATTAGTATGGAGATTTCTCAAAGAACTGAAATTAGAAATTCTCTGTGACCCAGGTATCCCCCTTCTAGGTATCCTCCCCAAAGAGCTCAAGATATCATACTACAGAAATACATGCATACCAGTGATTGTAGCAGCATAATTCATAGTAGCTAACGCCTAGAAGCAGCCTGTATAGCCATCAACAGATGATTAGATAAAGAAAATGTAGTATCTTTATATAATGGAATACTACTTGACTATAAGCAATGATAAATGAGACATTTGTAGGAAAATTGATGCACCCGGAAAATGTAATGTTGAGTTTAACAAACCAGACACACAAGTTTAAATACCATATGGTATCTCTCATTTGAGTGAGGGAAATTACAAACAGAATAATAAAGAATGGATAGAAGGAGACAAGTGGATGGATCTTTAGCAATAGTTGGGGGAGTCTAAGGGAACAAGGGTGAGGGCTGAAGAGGAAGGGATGGGGAAATAAATAGAAAAAATATATGCCATGTCCAGGAGCCTTATAACCTCAATAAATATAAATATCATAGGCCATGATGTGAGCTAAACTAATAATATTAGCAAGAAGGGAAATCAGGGTAGGGGATTTAGAGGAGCGGGAGAAGAGAAGGAAGGGGATTAAGAAAAGAAGCAAGACGTAGTGTGTTCATACACCCACTCCCCAAGATGACTGTAAAATGCAGGTACTGCAAACATGTACTAATTTTGAAAAAGTTTAAAAAATAAGGGGACAAAGACTTTAGGATACAATAGAAACAAGTCTTAAAACTATGTTAAGAATTTTCAATAAAATAAAACCTTTGAAAAAACTTTAAAAATACGGAAAACTTAACAAATGCTATGAGTTAAAGAGAGTACTTGGGAGGTTTTTGTAGCACTCTTGCAATTTGGGGGGCTTAAAATTTCAAAGTAAAAAGTTTCAAATAAAATGATGGCTAAATATAGACACTTTCAGACAAAAGCTGAGAGACTTGTTTGCACTAGATTCGCACTGCAGGAAATACTAAAAACGTTCCCAGGGCCGAACAGAAATGGTCCCAGATGGGAGCCTGCGTGTGCAGAAAGAAGAAGAATTCTGGGAGTGGTAAGACTTCAAACTGCACTCGCAGGCTTGTAATTCAGTATGATAGAATAAGCACATGTGTCGAGCCGCTCTCCCTCCCAGCTCCTAATATTTACTGTAAGAGCTAAAGTTATAAATCCACAAAAGTAGAGGGCATCGGCTGAACAGAAACTTCCAACCAATTTCTGGAGAATGACAGTGGGGGATGGAGCAGGCATTGTACGAGGAAGCTGAGAGGACGAACCCACACCTGAAAGAGTGCATGGCGGACACTGTCGCAGAGGAAACAACAGCTACCTCTCAGCCACCCCGTGAGAGGCTTAGGATGCAGAATTTCCAGATACTGGAGCTAAAAACGGAGACTGACTGGAAAGTCCACGGGCAGAATGTGCAGCACAGAGGTCTCTGCAGAGAAAGCTGCACTGAGAAGGGGCAGAGATTGATTGAACTATGGATTTTATTTGAAAAGAAGTGTCTGGTAAGAGGCGGGGCAGTGAGCCTGTGAGTTAGTCCCAGTCTGTGCACAGCACAGTTCTGATTTATAAGGACCAGTCTCTGTTCCCTGCCTGCCCATCAGAGGTGGTGTATGCTGCCGTGACGCACAGCTGACGGTGACCTTTCATATTCATTGCCTCATTCTTAAATGTGGGTGGGAAAAAAAAAAAACAAACAAACAAACAAATCTAGAGACACAAGTGTGAAATATTCAGAAAAAAAAGAGACCCAAATATATGCAAACAAAAATGATTCCTTAGGACACAGAGTTGATTTATAGGGAAAAGAACTTGTAAAAATATGTAGTTTGGCTCCCTAAATAAATATATATATATATATATCTTGGTAGCTAGGCAAATAGAGATACAGCTCTATACAGCTATCCCAAAAAACAAAAATACAATGCTACGGGGGACGATTCAGGAAAAGAAAGAAACGTAAACATTAAAAATAAGATTACCAAAGTTCATGATTCCCCACATTTCTTTGTACAAATACTTTTCAAAGGATGTTTTAGCAAGCAAAACACGATAGAACTATGCAGTTTCAAATAGCTTTCTTTCCACATGGAGAAGAAAATAAGATGTGTCCTTTGGGATCATTGTAAATTCACCATCTCAGAGAAACCAGCTCTAGGACACACAGTTCTGCTTTTCTCCAGCCTCTAGGAAGAGGCAGCCCTGGGTGACATCGACCGGCTGGGCCCCTGCAGGCAGCGATCACTGGGTCTGCATGGTCAAACTGTTGTTCCCTGTCGTACCCAGGCCTGCTGTGGTAGAAATGTGATACCTTCTCCAAAATAGTTTCAGTAGGTCCTCTGGGAAAAAGGAACAATTTTTTTTCTTTTTCTACATTTTTCACATTGCAATTTCAAGGACATGCCATTGGGTATCATTGTTTGCCACCAAAGAGGGAAGACAGCTAAAGAATTTAATACTATTGTCATTTTTTTGAAAATGAGCAGAGGTGGCCTGCGCCTGTAATCCTTCCATTGGACAAGGTCCTGGGCGGCTTCCGAAGCTCAGATAAGCAATCTAACCCCCTATTACCCACACAATAGGTTTGGCAGCTTCTCGGAATCTTCTCACTGGAAAAAAAATTTTAAGGGCTACTCAGTAGCCCTTTTAATTTTAAGGCACTGGAAAGGTTTTATTAGATAGACATTCAAAAGTACACTCTTGGGCTGGGGGTATAGCTCAGCAGCACAATGCTTGCCTAGCAAGCACAGGGTCCTGAGTTTGAATTCCAGTACCAAAAAAAAAAACAAAAAAAAACCAGTACACACTCAAAACAGAAAACAGAGCATACATCTTGGAGAGAAAGGCACATTTATACTTCAGTTTAGTAGTGGAAACACCAGGAAAGGTGACTCACTTCCCCAAAAAAGGGTACTAGCCCATTTTATAGTTTCCTTGTGTATAGTTTCTTTTGTCTTATCTGGCTTTCTGAGACAGGGTTTTGTTAAGTAGTTCAGGTTTGCCTTGAACTCACTAAATAGCCCAGGGTGGCAATACTCCTGCTTCAGCCTCCTGAGTGCTAGGATTACAAGTGTGTATAACAACACCTGGCTTTTTGAAAAAAATAATATATAGGTAACTTACACGTTTTAGATTCTCTCAACCTGTTCTTTTATCGAAGGGTCAGGTTCATGTTCTTTACTTTCTCACTTAAGCCAATTAATGGGCTTTCTGTGTTCCTGAGGGACTCCGGGTGTGATGGCCTGGAAGGAAAAGAACCTATGTGTAAGCAAGGGGATACTGATGATCCACCTTGGGTGACTTCACTTGAGGCCCAAAGTTCCTGTCTTCTTCAAAGTATGATTTTTATTTATGATTTCTGTGTCTGCTTTCTACCCATCTTTTATTTCTTCTATTGTGCCTCAAGCAAGCACACTTGTTGCTGGGTGTTGGGGTGCCGGAGTCTTCTCCTGGAGGGGATTTCTGAGTTCCTTTTATCCTGAGCCAAGAATTGGTGAAGCCAAGTGCAACTGGTAGCAAAGTTTCAGTTAGGATAGGAAAAGACACAGGCTCTACAGAGTGAGTTTGGGCCACACACAGGAGGAGGAGGAGCACATCCTACAGTACGAGAATGGGCCACCATGGAGAGAGGGCACAGCGGCAAAAGCTCAGTGTAGACTGTCCTTTATGTATGGCCCATGCCTCAGGCTGATGGCAAGTCTAGGCCATTATGGAAAACTTGTTCAAGCTCTTGTGGGAAGTCCAGATGCAGGGCTTTGGGAACTGTTCTGCTCCTGTGTCCTGGGATTTTATAATTAACAGGGCACAATTACTCCCCAGCCAGCTTTGCCACACCCTAATTTCCTGTCTCACTCTGGGAGTCTGAGACAGGAAGGCTGCAACTTGGAACCCAACTAGGGCAATTTAGCAAGACCCTTTTGTCAAAAATAAAAACAAAAATAAAGGGCTGGGGGTGTAGATCAGTGTGAGGGACCTAAATTCAATCCCTGGACTCAATCCTCAATTCAGTCCAGGGGGGAAAATGACAACAGCATTTAACACATGAAATGAGGCATGTAATCTTTGTATCTATTAGTAATTAATAGAATAACTAAGAAAATGATTTGGGAGAAACCCTGGAAGGGGAGTAAGAGTGTTACCAGGGTTGGGGTGCTGGAGTCTCCTTTTGGAGCAGGTTTCTATGCTCTTTCTGTCCTGAGCAAAGAATTGGTCAAGTCAAGCACACATGGTAGCAAAGTTTTCTTAAATGTGGGAAAAGGAAAAGCTTCTGCTGAGCGAGTTTGGGCCAAGCAGAAGTAGGAAAAGAAATGTGTTCTACAGGGCTGGGGATATGGTTCACAGGCACAAGCGCCTGCCTGGCAAGCACAAGGTCCTGAGTTTGATTTTCGGTACCAAGAGAAAAAAAAAAAAATACAACCTACAGTGTGAGGGTGGGGCCAGCTATGCAAGAGGACACGGTGGCCAAAACTCAATGCGGACTGTGCAGTATTGTGCGTCTGCTGCGGTGCAATTTTAAGGGCTAATGGCCACTGCACTTAAAAAAAAAAAAAAAGCACAGAAAGGGTTTGTTAGGCAGAAATTTAAAGGTAAACATTTACCTTTACACTTACAATTACCTTCCAGGAGAGAGAGGCGCTCTACAGTTTGGAGTTAGGACTATTAAGGTGGTTTTGGTGGAAATCTGTGGAATTTTTGAAGCTCTAGGAGCTTACCTCTTAGGTCTTGGGAAAAGCCTGGCTCCCCCGCAGGAAGATAAAAGCCTAGTCTTAGGGGACAGCCCTCTACAGGTGGAAAGAGGATCCCACGCAGATCAAAGAAGCTATGGTATTTGCAAGTAAAAAGGGAATGGCTAAACTATTTGCAGGTGAAGGGGAACTGACCAGGCTTACTGTGTTCTGGGAGAAAGCAGAAACAGACACACAAAATTTAAAACGGACTTGTGTTCTGAGGCTGCAGCTTTCACTTTTTCGTTGTTGTTCTTTGAGTTAGGATTTCACTGTGTAGCCACTGCTGGTCTCAAACTCTTGGCAGTCTTCCTGCCTCAACCTCCCACAGGCTGGGGTTACAGACGCGTGCCACCATGCCCAGCTTAATCTTCATTTTTTTTTTGTCTTTTTGAGACAGGGTCTCCCTATGCAGTTCAGGCTGGCCTTGAGCTCACTTTGTAGCCCAGGCTGGTCTCAAACTCGCAGTGATCCTCCTGCCTCAGCCTCCTGAGTGCTAGGATTATAGGTAATCTTTACTTTTAAAATCATGATTTTTGCTTATCTCCTTTCTCCTTATCTTTATTTCTAAACTACCTTACTCTCAGCCCCGAAGACTTTGACCCCTTATTCTTAGTGGGAGCAGAAGGGACAAACATGTGCCTTCTTGTAATGGCTTCAGGCTGAGGGAGGGTGGTGACCCTGCCTAGCCAGAGATCAGAAGTCCCCCTTAAAGGACCAAGGAAGATGGGTTTTGCTGTTCGATCCTCCTTTAATAGTCTAGAACAGAGAGAAAGAACCATGTAAAACAAGCAGAAATCAGACATTAAAAGTAGAATATGGATTAATAGTGGCTCTAAAAAATGTTTACCTAAGTAACAGCATACAGGCTCTCCCTATTTGTCAAAGAAATCTGGTGTTCTCTTATTTTAATTATAATAATGGTAAGCCAGGCATGGTGGTGCATACCTATAATCCCAGCCCTGGAAGATCACTGTGAATTTGAGGCAGGGCCTAGGCTACATCGTGGATTTAACACCTGCCTGCACTACATAGCAAACTCTGCCTGCAAAAAAACAAAAACAAAAAATCCAATGGCAAGGGAATACATTAAATTTAAAAACCTTGGGTTGCAAGCATAATTCATTCCAGAAACAAACTTATAACCCAAAGCACTTGTATATCTAAGTGAATTTTCTCATATGAAATAATGGAAACTCAGATGATTTGTTCCACAACCCCAAAATATTCATATAAAAATGATTATGATATAGGGAAAGAAACTCCCAACTTGCTAGATGCCCGAAATGCAGAATTCATGTTCCTCAAAATTGAGGCATGTATTCAGGGAACAACAGAGATTAAGAGTAGGATGAATTTACTGAGAGAAAGAAAGCTTCTGTCTAAGAGGGACAGAAGGGGGCTCAGAAAATGGATTGCCCCCAACTCACTTTACAGGGGAGGCTTTATAGAGGTGGGTACAAAATTATGATCAACCGAGAAGATTACAAGTAAAAACATTTAGGTAATATTGCTCCAATAGTACCAAGGGCATATGGCTGATATCATTAACTTTGGTCTATAGTCTATAATCATGGACTTCATTTTAATCTTACCCCTAGCCTTAGTCTTAGAGGGTGGGAGAGGACAGGCGGGAGAGGATGGGCCATCCCTAATGAGATATGGGAAATCTCGAAAGGGTGGCACTGCTAATCTCAAACTCCCATTTATCCTTTAGGGAAGTATGTAAATCTAGCCACTGTGACTGTAATCTTCTTTGGCTATGTCTCCAACCACTGTTCTCATGGGTTCTCGTCTTCTGAACTGACTCCTTCCAGGGTCTGGCCCTGTCTGACTGCCTACAATGTTTCTACCTAACTTAGCTGTTTATAATAATTACAATACTGTAATATAATACAAAATATCAAGAAAATACAAGATATAAAGAAAAACAAGTAAACTAACCTGCACTTAATCTTTAACAACCTTTGTGGCTGGTGTAAGGGAGACAAGAGAGAGGAGGGTTGTTACTATGTAGAACAACATTTAATATCATTAATAGAATCACTGCTCTCTATTGGCTCAATGGAAACCTTTTCTTTTTTGTGCAGCTTTAGCAATCTACCCATCCAATGACACTTGCTTTTGTCTCCTTTTGAGGATTTTGCAGAAATGTCACATGGTATCATCCTTAAACCAGTTCATTACTCCCACTAGTGCAGCCTTATTCCAGCGGTGGTTTGCTACAAAATTTTGCACTGTTTCCCACATTTTACATATCTTCCTAATCTCATTTGAAGTGAGGGATCTCTCCACCTTCTATTCATTCTACTCAGCGGATGAGATCTTCTCCATAACCTCTTGCCACTGGGAGACAATTACCCATAATCCTACAGTGAGAAAGAGAGAGATAGAGACAGAGACAGAGACGGAGACAGAGAGAGGAGAGAGAGGAGAGAGAAGAGAGAGGAGAGAGGAGAGAGAGACAGAGAGAGACAGAAAAGGGGAGAGAAAGAGAACCATTGGCTCAGTCATGGCTCATGTGGCATTCAGCATGATAATGTAGTATTAAGACAGGGCTCATCTATTTAAAATTTCCTAGAAATGTTTGGTTGTCTTGCAGAACACTCACAGAAAAAAGTTACTCATAATCCAGGGTTTTATAGAATCTATGTTTTATGACCATTGAATCATAAAAATTTTTACTATAGGGCTTAGAATCTGTACCTGGCCTCTGTTTTGTGAACCTGAAGACCTTTTACAGTGAGTGGCTCTACATAATAAACACATCAAGTCTGGAGTAGGTAACAAAATGAGTTCATATCTCAAAGGTAACAAAGTTTAGCTAGAATACTTACGTTGCCATGTTTATTCCATAGGCACACCCACGCAAGAAGCTAAATTTTTAACCAATGGGTGGATGAAAGTACATTACGATAATGGAAAGGACACATTTTGGGACTAGATAGTGCTGGCAATACTTACAGGTGCAGCTGGAGACTGCCCCTGGGGGCTGGGGCAGTGTCTGGAGGCCCTTTTTATGTGTAGTGTAGCTTCTGCTGTGAAACATTGCTACTACTTTAATTAAAAGTGTTTGGTTATACTTTCCTAGTGAGTATTTAAGACCAAGTCAAACCAAGACCTGTGTTAATCAAAATTAAACTACCTCTCCCTACATATTTACCAAGGACAGTCAAGGCTCCTCAGGTGTTACTTCATTTTTACTTTTATTTTTATTTTTATCTTGAGACAGGGTCTCACTATGCGGTTCAGGCCTTGAGCTCACTTTGTAGCCCAAACTGGCTTCAAACTCTCAGTGATCCTCCTGCCTCAGCCTCCCAAGAGCTGGGATTATAGGCGTGAGTCACCATGCCCGGCTTCCTCAGGTGTTACTACTAGGGCCATGTGTGGAGCCGCTTAGCTCCTCATTTTATTTATTTATTTATTTTTATTTTTAATTTTTTTTGTTTTTCTCCGGTACCGGAACCGAACTCACGAACTTGTGCTTGCCAGGCAGGCGCTTTTGCCGCTGAGCTAAATCCCCAGCCCCACCTCCTCATTTTAAATAATCACAAAAATTTCAAGGAGAACCATAGGTGGTGGCACATGCCTATAATCCCAGCACTTGGGAGGCTGAGACAGGAAGATTGCTATGAGTTTGAAGATTACTAGCCACTAGTAACAGCTAGTTTGGGCAACATAGTGAGTTCAAGACCAGCCTGAAGTACTTCACAAGACCCTGTCTCTATCAAATCAAATTAAATCAAATCAAATCAAATCAAATCAAATCAAGTCAAATCAAATCAGATAAAAGCATATCATGTCATATCAAATCAAATCAAGGGGAAAAAAGAGGGAGAACAATAAATTTGAAAGAGATGTAAAAGATACCAGCCTTTTGTAGTGTGTGGCTTTTATTTGCTTCTTAATTCAGACAGTTGAAAAAAAGCATTTAGAAACCTGAATATTGGATATTTGATGATAGGGACTATTGCTATTTAAGATATTATAATGTAGTTATATTTTAGAGGCAGCTAATGAAACAGTTACTGATGAAATTATATGAAATCTGAAATTGGTTCCAAAGTCATCAGTGAGGGTCCGTGGGGAGTTTTGATGGAACAAAGGTGTTTGGGGTTTGACTGTTGTCCCTGCTGAGAGATGGGGCCTTTTTTTATTTTCTCAATTGTGTATATATCTGAAATTTTGCTTTTTTTTGAGACTAAGTCTCACTTTGTCATTCAGGCTAGCCTTGAGCTAACTATCTACCCCAGGCTGGCCTCAACCTCATGGAGATCCTTCTGCCCCAGCCTCCCGAGTGTTGAAATTACAGGTGCAGGCCAGCACATCAGGCTGAAATTTTGCAAACTTAAAGTTATAAAAAATGTTAAATGACACAATGAAAAAGTTATTCCCTTTTCAACACTTCTCCAACACATCTGACCAGAGTAAGAGGGGAATTGTTAATCTTTTTTATAAAGTGAGAGTGGGAAATTTTAACTGGAAATTCATAAATATGTTTGGTTTTCAAGTGATCTAGCTCAAGTTTAGTAATGATATGACATTCTTAAAATTATTTAAAATATATTGTATACTTTTTTTTTGTTTTCTGGTTCAGACTGGTGTTGAACTCACTATGTAGTCCAGGCTGGCTTGGAACTTATAGTGGCCCTCCTGCCTCAGCTTCCTGAGTGCTATAGGATCATAGATGTGTACAACCACACCCGGCTATATTGTTTAATTTATGATGTATAATTTGTACATCATGTGCACTTGCCTTGTCCTTCTCTCCAGAGTAGCTTTTATTTGCATGTGAGCTGAGAGTAGAAGCCAGGCCTTGTACATTCTATGCAACTGGCCTACCATACCCCAGCCCTGCAGTGACTTCTGTTCTGGTATCAAAGGAGACGAGATGCCAGGTCTACGGTGTTTATGTACCCGGAACACCATGATTTCCTGAGCTCTCCGTACTGTGCCCTGGCGTCAGCTCCTGAAGGCTCCCTTTTCTCCTTTACATCTGTCTTCCACCTCCACGGGGTCTGCAGTGCACTCTCAGAGCCCATCCCCACAGGGAGACCATGGGAACTTTTAGGATGCTCTACACGCTTGCTTCTTAAAATGAGGTCTGTGCATAGCCTCATCAGCAGGCAGCTGGTTAGAAGCGCAGAGCTCAGGGTCACTGTGGCCTGGGCTGGAATCTGCTTGACATTGCAGTGTGCATGTGTGATGCTACAGCACCTCCCAAAATGGACCCAAGCCTCTCTCTGCCACCCGTGGAGCTGTTCTCCTCCGCCTAATTATATTTCCTTGAGTAGGGAACTACATCTATTTTAGATTTAGTGATTACCCACTCTGTATAACCATGCTTTTTTGGTGGACTTAGTTGATGATTAGGTAAAAATTTCTCTTTCCTTAGGATTATAAGTGAAAAGCTATGGCTTTTCAGGTTATTTGTGTACTGTGAGACTAAAATAGTTTCAATAGCCAGGTTGGTGGCACACGCCTGTAATCCCAGCACTTGGGAGGCTGAGGCAGGAGAATTGTTGCGAGTTTGAGATCAGCCTGGGCTACAAAGTGAGCTCAAGGGCAGCCTGAACTGCATAGTGAGACTGTCTCAAAAAGACAATAAAAAAAAAAATTTCAATAGGGTGACCACCCCGAGGACAGTGTGTACAGAAAGCTCTTCCTCCTAGGTAAATTGTGGAGGCGTGAACAGTGTGGAAGCCCTTGTTAGCCCCTCAAAGTATTAATGGATACATTGATATTTTAAAAATCATCCAAGTTTTGCTATGTGTGGTGATGTACACCCAGAACTTGGGAGGCTGAAGCAGGAGGACTACCATGAATGAGTTCAAGGCCTAGGCTACATAGTAAGTTCAAGGTCAGTATGAACTTCTATCAAGACCTTATCTCAAAAGACCAAATATAAATAAATAAATGGACACTTTTAAAAAAAATGTATGGTAAGCAAATAATAGTATAGGGCTATTCCAGTAGTTGAAGGTTAGAAAAATGCCGAGTTAGGCTTTATTTATTAGTTTTTTGAGACAGAAGTCTCAGTATGTAGTTCAGCCTCACCTTGAACTATGTAGCTCAGGCTGGCCTCAAACCCATGGTGATCCTCTTGCCTTAGCCTCCTGAGTGTTGGGATTACAGGTGTGTGCCACCATTCCTGGAGGCTTTTTGCTCTAATATAGAACATGGGTTCAAATGAGATTGCCAAAGTCTCACCCTTCCAATGTAAAAGGATCCTTTTTCCGTACAGTCTTTCTTTACACCTGCTTTATTTTTTTCCAATGCTCTTATCACCACCTAATGTATCTTTGTTTATTTTCTGCCTTTTCCTGCAGGCCCACTGGAATGTAAGCTTCATGAGGGTAGATTTCTAATGTCATTGGTTTCCCAGAACAGTCCTTGCACATCAGAGGGTCACCATACTCTCTGGCCCCCCCAGATCTGCAAGACACTTACTCCATTCCACTTTAATTCCTCCACCAAAAGAGACCCTTGACTGCCCCCCCCCACTTGTCCAAGGGGTTGGGTGACACTGTTGGGTGCTCTTGGGTAAAATGCCCAACTGGAATAAGATTTGGCTGTTCAAGAACCACATGGAAGTGGGGAAGGGTTGATTTCCTGCAAAGACAATTGCTACTGAAAGAAGGAATGTGTGCAGGAAAAGAACAGAGGGAGGAATACATATTCATGATGACTATTTACCATTTAATTTGCACTACAACCAGTAAATGGGCACCACTTTAGAGGAGAAAATAGACTTAGAAGGTTAAAACATTTGCTAGCTAGAAGGTGGTGAGTTGAGACTCAAATCCAGGTCTGTTGGGCTCTAGAACCAATTTCACAGGTACGACATCTCTTTACCCATACCAAATTCTATTCGTGTGTCACCTTCAGTCATTCACCGTGGATTTACTGAGATATCACCTGTGCTTCTCTACTCAACCAGTGTTCCTAAACAACCACTTAGTACTCCACGCAGGCCAGGCCCTGTGCCCTGAGGGTCTGCCTTTGTTCCATTCTCCCAACCAGTGTCTCTCATACTTCTCCCCACTTCCCAGGCCTCTGTTACATTTCTTCCATCGCTTCCAAGTCTTCCCTGAAGACTCACCTGATGCTTTTAGCACACGGAAATCTCTGTGAACTCTGAAACTTACTAGTATTCAGGCCAGAGTTTGGGGAGGGATGGAAAGAAATTGGGAACACATTACCACCCATACAAATCCCATGTACACTTTTTTGACTGAGTAAACTCTGACAGGAGGCCTGAAAAAGTGTCACTGAGGTCCAAAACCACTTCTCTCAATTAGTACCTCTCTGTGTAGCCAAAAGGGTCTCAAGAGTGTCTGTTAACAAGTTGAGGACAAAGACTCTGACCTAAGTGCTCCTCCTTGAAGATCTGTCCTCTTGTATAACAGAGCCAAGCACACAGTAGATGCATGATCAAAGTGTGTTGAATCAACTGAGCGTGGTGGCCCACACCTGTAATCCCAGCACTACGGAGGCTGATGAGTTCAAGGCCAGCCTTAAAAACAAACAAACAAACAAACAAACAAACGAAATTGAATTTGTATTGAGCACCTTTTGTGTTCCAAAGTATCTTCTATGGTGTGCTTACTCAATTGACAAAATCCAGACTATTTCCGTAAAAACTAAGCTGGGCACCCCGAAGTCACAAGAACTTTCTTCTTTACACTTTTTACCGATTTCCTTTTGCCTTCTCTCAAAACACTTAATTTTTATTTAAGAACACAACACAAATACCCCTCCTATTAAAACTGCTACCGCTGCATGAACTTGGTATTAATCTATGTGTGTTTCATCTGGGCTCCTAAAAGGTGGCTTTTTCACCCAAACCAAACGGTTATTCAAGTCAGGGTAGTTACAATGAAAATGTTACTTCATATATATAGTTTGGGCAGTCTTTGGCCCAGGAAGATTTCTGCTGCATTTGTACAGTACATTAAGCTTTTCTCATATATTAAAATATTAAATATATTTCAAGTCCTTAATAATTCAAAACAAATCTGTGAACGGTGCGAGGAAGAGTTGTGGTCTTTTTTTTCCCCCTTTTTAGCTTGAGGAACCTAGCCTGTGAACGAGCGCGTCAGGACCCTTTTGAACGCCTTCGGCTACCGTCATTACGTCATCTCCTACACGCTTTTTGTGCGTCTGCGCGCTGCTGGAACACAGTTCTGGTCTCCGTTGCCCGGGAAGGACGTTGGTGTTGGGGTGAGTCGGGGTCGCGTTTGTTTTGCACTCTGGGGTCTCACAACTGCCGCCTCTTGCACTTTGCGTATTTC